GGGGGGGGGGGGGGGGGGGGGGTCGGAAGATGTGTGTTCTTTTGGTTCCATGTTGTGAATTATCTTGAGATGGGTACAATAGCTTCGCGGGGTGTTCGCGTGTCGTCGGGTGCACCCAGGCACCCAGGTGTGAAATGCTGTACCTCGGATCAGCACCTGTCTGTTCCAGCGGGCGGGCGAAGGTGGTTTATCGTTCTCGGTGTGAGCTTGAGCAATCTTAACTGTCTTTTTTGCTCAGCCGCATCGCCGAAAGTTTCCTTCCCCAGGCCGACGAACCGAGGGTGCGCGGGACGTGTGGCGGCTTGCGTGGCGGCTTGCCGTCGTCGGAAAAATAACCCGTCTGGGCTCGCACGGGCTACAACAAAGCTATGGAACAATGACATTGTGGCCGATAACTTCAGCAAGAAGAAACAGAGTTCTTTTTCTCCACTCGGCGAAGAAGATTTCGAGGCGATGCGTTGTTGTCTATTTTTTTCATCTCTCCTGTCCCGCTAACTATCCAACTAATCAACGACAACGACAACGACAACGACGGCGGGAAACTATCGCAGGACCGGCACACTCTGGCGTACGACAAGGGATGGCGCGTGCGGACGGACTTCAAGCAGTACCAGATCCTCCGGCAGAACCCCTTCTGGTGGACACACCAGCGGCACGACGGGAAGCTGTGGAACCTCAACAACTACCGAACCGATATGATCCAGGTGGGTGTGTCTGTATGTCTGTGTTTTTTTTGTTTTCTTTTGTCCTACTACCGCCTCCTCGTGTCTGTGTATTTTTTTGTTTTCTTTGTCCTACTACCGCCTCCTCGATGTTGTGTTGTCGTTGGATCCGAAGGTGAAAAGTCCAGGATCGATTACGGCGATGGATGGATTCATTGTGCTGTGCTTTGTTTTGTGCCCTGCTACCACCGCCCCCTCCTATTCCTCCAACTCCTCGTTTTAGTGTCGTGCTTGTTTGGATGCTGCGTATTGTATCATGGTCGCGATGGAGAGAAGGAAGACGCTACCGTAGATCGAGGGTAGCACTAACGCGGCGCAGCGGGTTAGACTAAATAGCATTCCCTTTCTCACCTTGGTCTTGCCCTCCTCCTATCCTTGATGTTGCTCTTGTTCAACCCGTTTGTTTTCTTGGTTGTTGCTTTCCGTCGCTGATTCGTCTACCGCACGCCGCCCGTACCGCCCCGTGCATCATCCAGGCTTTGGGAGGTGTGGAGGGTATCCTGGAGCACACGCTGTTCAAGGGCACCTACTTCCCCACGTGGGAGGGTCTCTTCTGGGAGAAGGTGCGGCGCAATTAAGTACATAGCTGCACGATTACCGTACGTACGTGACATGACACAAGATAACACACACCCTTGGACTGATTGTGCGAATGACGACATATCCCCAGTATCGCACCGCCCCTAGAAAGAGCTAAAAATAGTGTTTTATAGTCTACTACTGGTGTGCTGTTTAGGTCTACTGATGTGCACTCGAAGTTTGTACCTTTGTTTTCGGGTATGTAGTTGGCTTGTCTTGTGACCACGCAAAGCGTCCGCGTCAGTTAGAGACCGGTACGGTACGGTACGGTACGGATGTCAGACGGTACTGAGCAGAGACCGGTTGCTCATGTGAAGACGACTAACAACAACAAGAAGATCGATCTATCTTGGCGTGTTTATCAGCAGTGAGAACGAACCTTGAGAGCGACATAATGATGACGGCCTGTCTTTGTCTTGTTTGCCGTTGCTCACCTTTCAGGCTAGCGGGTTCGAGGAATCGATGAAGTACAAGAAGCTCACCAACGCCCAGCGAGCGGGTCTGAACCAGATCCCCAACCGCCGCTTCACGCTCTGGTGGTCCCCGACCATCAACCGAGCCAACGTCTACGTCGGTTTCCAGGTGAGTTTTTTTTCTTTTCTCTTTGGAGTCTGTCGAAGCGCCGCGTTTGGATGTATTCGAAGAGCTGCGTTTGTTGGGTCACGCCTTTTCCTGTTTTAATCTCTTGCTCTCTGCCGTTTTAACTTTTGTATGCTGCACTGTAGACTGCAGTATGTATACACACATTTTTTTTGTAATATGTCAGCGGGGGGCGCCGACTTGGGTCCGAACGCGCGCATCGTCCCCCGGTGTTTTTTCTCCAACCTGTGTCGTACCAGGAACAACCATGGCCCGACAAATGTAGCTGTTTGTGCGCCTACCATCACGTTTTCTTGTGTGGTTCGTTATTCCGGCAGCTGTTTCGCCGCTGTCCCCCTTCTGCTGCGTGTTGGACAGGATTCCACCTTCTTTGGCGCCTGATTGTCGGCCGTTGTCTTGTTAAACCATTTTTTTTTTTTTTTGTGTGTGTGTGTGTGTTTTTTTTTTCGCTTGGTGCACAGGTGCAACTGGACCTGACGGGCATCTTCATGCACGGCAAGAATCCCCACGCTCAAGATCTCCCTCATCCAAATTTTCCGCGCCCACTTGTGGCAGAAAATCCACGAGTCCGTCGTCATGGACTTGTGTCAGGTACGTGTATTGCATGTAGCTTCGCTACGCAACCAGTAGTTCTGTCTCGTCCGCCTCTCCTGTTGTTAACGGTACTCTTTTTTTTTTTGTCGTTCGAATGTTGGTGTTTTTCTTGCAAATGTTTTTTTTTTTTGCGGGCATGATGCAAGTGGATGAGTGTTGAGTGAAGCAATTATGTCGGCAGAGGGAGAGAGAGAGAGAGAGAGAGAGAGAGAGAGAGAGAGAGAGAGAGAGAGAGAGAGAGCAAGGGGGTGAAGGTTGACAGAGACATGAAACATGAGACAGAGGTAGGAGAGAGAGACCTACATACCATCCACAACTGGTCGTGACCCCCCACCCCGCGTAGGTCTTCGACCAAGAGCTGGACGCCCTGGACATCGAGAACGTCCAGAAGGAGACCATCCACCCCCGCAAGTCGTACAAGATGAACTCCTCCTGTGCCGACGCCCTCCTCTTCGCGGCCTACAAGTGGACCATCTCCAAGCCCTCCCTGTTGCACGACACCAAGGACCAGTACGACGGGACCACTAGGTGGGTCTTGGGTCTTGGGTCTTGGGGGAGAAAAGTAGCCTTGGGGTGGGTGGTGGTGGTGGAGGGTAGTCATGTGTTGCCATGTCTTAGTTTTTTTTACCGTTGGCCAGGCGGGGGAGGGGGGCGGGGATGCACTCTCTTGTTTTCTATACCTTGGAGTTGTTAGACCATTGAATTGACTACGCATACGTGTCCTCGAGAGAGGACGGAGCAGTGTTACCAGAGGGTCGGTAACCGATGGCCAATCGTTCCTTTCTACTTTGCC